TCTTATTTTTTATCTTTTCTTGCACATTTGGATTCCACCACCAACTATTTTTACTTTTATGAGATTTTCCCTTCGAAACTCCAAGTACATCTTTTGCAATATTCTTAATATTACAAGCCACTTTTTCCCACATAATATTGGCATCCTCATGCACAAACAAAATCTTAAGATCTAAAATCTTACTCTCAAAAATACTTTTGTTAATATGAACCGAAGGGGAAAAAATGCAAAAATCAAAGAAATAAAGAATATAAAGGGATGACTAGATAACTTTGAGCTTGACTAAAGCTATAGAAATAGGTTGGGGAAAAAGGGAAATGGAAAATCAAGAATGCCCATAACTCCCAGTATCATTGACGAGAGAGAGTGGTGAATTTTAGCTCATTTTTCCATTCATTTTGCATGCCCTAATTTCGCTAAAAATTTCGCTAAGGGAGAGTATTTATAGACAACAAAGACTCAATGACTAAAGCTATAGAAATAGGTTGGGGAAAAAGGGAAATGGAAAATCAAGAATGCCCATAACTCCCAGTATCATTGACGAGAGAGAGTGGTGAATTTTAGCTCATTTTTCCATTCATTTTGCATGCCCTAATTTCGCTAAAAATTTCGCTAAGGGAGAGTATTTATAGACAACAAAGACTCAAAAAAAGACAACAAATTAAGTCTCATAAGACCCATCAGCCACCTACTAATTTCCTAATGCCTACTATTAACTAATGAACTGCTAAAACCCATAATATATCCTATCATGACCTATCAAATACATTTATTACCCTAATATATCATGTTTTGGAGTCAAGCAATTGTTGTTTCATTATGAAAGAAATTAGGCAATTACAAAAATATATAACAAGTCTTCTTCAACCTTCTTTCCTCCTAATCTCTCCTTTCGACTCCTCTGAATCTTATTCTGAGATCTCTATTATGAATTATCTATCCTCCCGAATCTCCCTAATTTATGATAATCATGACTTCTCCTATGAACTATTTAGGCAAGGAATGTTGATTACAACTTAAAAGAGTGATAATTTTGCTGCAAGAAATTACAATTGATCTTACAGAAGTTACGAGAAGTTTACACCAACAGGTTAGCATTATCATTGATCAGGAACAATCTTATTAGCCATTGAGTAACTTGACCCTTAGGATAGGGTCTTCCTTAGAACTTCTATAAGCTCCTCTCATAGCATCGCCAACCTCTCAAGATTCCTCTCAATAATAACCCAGTCTTCTTGATCATTACCCCTACTCTAGTAGGCAATGCACTACATGTATTGTGAAATTAATGTCTCAAAACATGCTTTGAAGAATGATGATTTGAAGTAAGTTCTCAAAACACTAATGGTTAAATTAATGCTTATTACCAAGAAAAGGAACAAAGAAACTATTGATTCTATGTTACTCATCTTAAGCTAAGTTGTGACAAGTATTCTTACTATTTCTATTTGTATTTTTTACTATGTCAAGAGGCCGAGAACAAAAAAGATTCAAGATTCACAAAGAAGTATAATTAAATTATATGCAAAATGAATAATGGAAATGCTCGATCACCCTCCACATTGTGAGAATTGAATTTGTTTAAAGTAAATGATGGAATTTCTAATTGTGAAGAAGATATTATCAAAACAATTCCTGGGAAATTTAGGACAGAAAGTCTTAACTCACGCCAATAATCATTGGATTTGAAGGACAAGCTCTGAAAACAAGAAACTCAAAATATTAATGCTTAATTCCACAGAAGTTTGATTGCTTGTTAACTATAACTCGCAGCAAAGACCAATAGAATGCATCAAAAATCTTTCTCTCGCTTGATGCCAAATAAAAAAATATTCCATGTGAACTTTAGAATTTGTCTCCAAATGCATTCAAGACAGTAAAAGTTTGGTTTAATGCATGAAAGTAAGAGAATGCACGCAGGATTGCTCAAACTTTGCTTTCGAATCTACTAATATATGTTATGGATATGGGAAGTTTGCGGGTGTATGATTTTCTTTTGAAAGTGGATTGTTTCACGAAAATGAAAAAAAAAAAGTAGAGCCATTACCCATCACCAGGACCAATATATTTGAGTAACTGTAACATCAAAACAAGAAAATTGGCTGAATAGAATTTGGAATAAAATTGGTAAAAAGCAAAAGGAAACCACCACATGCCCTTGTAATAAGTTGGCCATCTTTATTACAAATAATAAATCATTGATGCCCGTAACAAGATCAAGATGAAGTATCAATTCGGATGAGAAGTATAAGTTCAAGTGAAGCGTTTGAAGAATCAATATCACGTGGTAGAAATTTTCAAGAAGCTGATTTGAAAAAAATATATTTTTTTTAATTTTTTACTTTCAGAGTTCATGGCTGTTAATGAACAAAGCACCACATTGGGGGTTTCTAATGGACATATTTAATGAAATGTCTAATTGATCAATATATAGTCTCATAAATAGACACCCTCTCTTCATGTTCAGTTGGATTTGTTTTCACATATTTCAAGCTTGAAGAATCCACATAATATACAGTTGAATGTGACTTACCAAAAATGTGTGCTCTCAAAAAATCCTTATTGATAAGTAAATTACATCACATGTATAATAAATGAGTATAACCGATACAACATGGAATGAAATGTATTAAAGCTTAACGTGAATTTCTTAACAAGCAATCCAAAAAAAGGCATAAAAAGCTTACTTTAGTTATTTTAACTATTAATTTTCCTTTGGCCTCTCCATTCATTGGATAAGATTGTCCGTTAACTTAGGTAGTGAAAGGACTTTACCAAAGTATTTCGTTTAGATTCCTCCATAGCAACCATTTGAAGGCTTTGTATGATAAACTCGATGACACAACGAGGCCGGTGCTTGGAATGACAAATAACTGCTAGATCATCCTCTTCTAGCAAATTCTTCAGATCTAGTTTGATATCTGAGCCACCAATGACATGGCACTGCAGCGAGATAATTATTTAATTGCCTCAAGTCATCAATTACTGAAAAAAGGCTAAAATTAAATGTAAACATGTAAATGCAAATAGCACTTAGTATGGTAATATATATCTTTTCTTGTTTCTTCTTATTTTGCAATGGCAATGCAAATATATTTCTAACGTGCTAATTTTTGTTTAATTTTTTCTGCCCTTACATTCTAGTAAAATAGGAAATATTTAAAAAGAAATGAGTTATTTTGCAATCTATAGGGGCGATCATTTACTATCCATTAAATTAAACTTAGAAATTATCATCTCTGCTCATTTCTTTTCATTCATGTTAACTTCATTCTTGTTATTTTCTCTAAATATTTATTTGGTAAAACATTTGCCTATTAAGTTTGACTCACCCTAGTTATGGGAACTTTTCAGGAGACCCTGTTTCTAGATAATGGCTGACCCACCTCCACTCACCTACCGTCGTAGGGAGACGACGGGCGGCAGGTTCTTTTGTGTTTTGCCTTTTTGTTGTTAGAAGATGAATTGTATAGATTTTTGGAAAGAACTCAAATATGATTTTTGGAATCCTTTTATTTGGAAGAATTTTTGATGTAATCCTCTTTTTACAAGGTATGAAAAGCAAAAATTACTATTTGGAACTTTTAGTGGCTCTTTCTTTTCTTGTTGTAGTGATGTTAACATTCTTTACTTTATGATGAATTTAGTTTATGCCATGCTACCTTGTCTCTTTCTCCGTCCGATCTCTGTTCCCGCCTCGCACTAACGAGCTAATCGGGCCGGGTCGTGACAGTTCCTATGAGTTCAAAGAACAGAAATGAACTAATTATTTTTAAATAATAAATGAATACTGTTCCTGAATGATTTTGAGAAGGTGTGATGACAAGTTTCTCAGAATTGCTTGATAGAACAAACCCTCCATATTAAATATCCTAGTTTGAAAGGCCGTTATCAAGAGTAAATACAAGAAAGAAAGAAAGAAAATAAAATAAGTTAGGATGGGTTTGAAAACTGTTCAGTTTTCTTTGTGATGATCGAACTGCAAATTCAAATTGATTACCCATATATTGCACATATATCAAAATAAATTAAACTGTTGATCCCAAACAAATTTTTTCCTTGAAAGAATTATGATCAAATGAAATTATCAATAGATTTAGCAAACTACATGTTGAATGCATAGTAGTTTTAGAGGTTCAAAATATTTTGATAAGTAGAGAAAAAATGGGAACCAATCATCCACATATAATATAACAAACTGCAAGTTCCTGATTAAACCATTTTTTTCAGAAAAAAATCCCATGCCAATTTTAAATAGATTATGACATAATCAAATAGGAAATGTTGCGAATTCATAGAATGATACATTTTGAATACTATGCCCACCTTAAAAAAAAACAGATCAAACTAGCTGCACTGTAATGATGTTTGAAATTAATCTATAAATAACAAAACTGCCACATGTGATTGGAACATTTAAGTTGATACTTGATATCATTTGCTCATACTGTAAGATATATCTGGCAACTCACAAATGATGTAGCAGTATTTTGTTATTTACAGAAAATGATAGCGTTATGTAATGTCAACAGACGAATGATTGACAATTGATTCAGCATGAAATCCTATCAAGTTATGAGAGAGCCTTTTCGGGTTTGCAAACAGAAGTTATCAGCGTAGAAAAATTAACACATTATGTAGTATTTAACAGTGATTTCTCGTGAGGAAGGATTGATAAAAAAATTCCCAAATTATATAGCATCATAAGCAGAAAGTCGAATTCAAAAGAAATTCAATGGAGGAAACCTATGAAGCCAAAGCAATCCAGTACAGAATAAATTGCAAGAGAAGTAGCGAGATCGAAAGGGTAGCCCAAAATCCACCGACCTTCAGAGCAACTGGAAATGCCATTATGTAATTCAAGAGTGTCCTCTTAATGCCCGCTTCCTCTGCACCACTTCTACCCCTAGCCATACTAGATATCACAATCCCCGCCATTTCACTGGCCCCAGCGACTACGCTCATCCACACCTTCCTCCCCTCCACAAACCTGGAGTACGAAGCCTCCGTCCGGAACACCAAAAGCAAAGCCAACGCCGGCGCCGTGAGCTGGTACGGAAGCGACGACGCGTGCAGTAGCGGGAAGAGTTCCGGCAGCCACCGATGGGCCACCGCGGAGTTGTAAACGGCCAAGGCCGCGGCGAAGGAGGTGAAGACGGAGACGGGCGGGACGAGGGAGAGGATGACGCGGGAAGATAAGCTGGAGAGTAAGTGTCGGAGGTGACGGAGTGAGCTCCGATGGGCACGCCAGTCCTCAGGGGTGTAGAGGGAACGCCGCTTCTGCACACCGCGTTCCTGGATTGCGTCGGCCCAGTCGGGGATCGCTCGGATGGAGAGAGGAAAAGAGGGGATTGGAGGATCCGAGGTTTTGGCGGAGAGTATGCGGCGGGAGAGATTCGGAAGCACCAGTGGCGTCCGGCGGCGTAACCTGACAGGGAATCTAGGAGTGAAGTGCGAGGACGAAGAAATTTTGATTTCCATGAAGTTTTCAGGGAATGGAAGGTGGATTAGGGGTTAGGTTCTGTAGTGTTTTGAGAGCTGGAAGAAAAGATGGCGAATGGCGAGGAGCAAATTCTCAATGAGTTTTGCAGGTACGCCGGTACGGTGGGCGTGGGCACTCTGTGGAGGAAGAGGATACACTTGCGTCAAGGTGGTTGGACCTTGAGTTGGTTGGTAGAATGTAAGAAACTGTAGGTGCGAAAAGAGCACGCATTGGCGCTATCAAGAAAACTTCGACGCTTAGGGGCTGTTTGGTATGCGGATTTAGGCGGATTTAAGGTCGGATTTGGGCGAAATCCAGCCAAACGGCCTAAAATGCAAATCCAAATCTCACGGCAAACGAAATCCTCCGTGGACAGAAAATTCCGCCGATTCGCTCTAAATCC